GGGATACTATCATCGGGAGATATTTTCAATATATGGCGAAAATATGCTGTGGGAGGTTGTAGGGCTGGGGCGCCCCTTGTTAGGCGCAGATGTGACTTCGTGAATGGGCTCGTAAAATGCTCCTCCTATCAATCAACATTTGCGACTTTTTGTTTTTTTTTTTTTTTTTTTTTTATTTCACACTAAGGATACATGCAATGTACTGCGAAACTGCACATGGAATGGAAGGATGGAACCCGTGAAGTTGTGGGCGCCACGCCACTCCTTGCTGCGACGTTGTGGAGTGGGAGTGGAAGTGGCGTACAGCACATGCTGCTTTGCTATACGGCCACGTGAACGTGAACAAAAAAGGATAAGGCTTTTTGTAGTTCGTACTTTTAACCCAACCCATCATCTACTGCGATAAGCGAGCTTGTTATTACCATGCAGGGCCGGTCTCCACTCTCCACTCTCCACAGCTTCCTCAGTCATGGTCTCCACCGCTCACAACATGCTTAGGGCCGGCCAAGGTGGAATATATAAATCAAATGATGATCCTCATTCCTCCTCATCTTAGGAACCAGTTTGGCATTTCATTAAAAAGAAAAACGTGACAAAATGTCCTCAGCAAAAATATACACATCAAGTTAATAAATAAAAACTTTGTCCAAGCAGATGTACATATTTGAGAGCAACGTGTCGTACGTAGTTTTTTTTTTTTTTTTTTTTTTCTGGTATTTTACAGATACGCCTGGATCCTCGTAGGGACCTTTTGAATATATAGTGCAAGTGTGTAACACCACATTTCTTTCCCTCTTAGTTCTGAAAGTAGATGAGATCACTTGCACAAATATTGATGTTTGGTTTGAAAACTGGTGCAGCAATTAAATCCATCCCAGGGAGGAGAAACCAAAATGGGCAGCGCTCTTTAGGATTTAGGATTATCTGCTGAAAAATCTGATTAGATAGGAATAAGTTTATGTTTAGAGGTTCACAAATCACTCGTGCGGAAGTAGTAAAACGGTCCAAAACTCCAATGCAGTTCGATGGATCCTCCCTTCCCTTTCAATGTTTAAGGTAAACTGTTATGCAAGTTTCGACAAGTTGGAGCAAAGCGCTTAAGAGTCTGGCGCCATCAGACTCGGATGTGCTGATCAAAGGTGCATCATGGAATCCAATTCTTTATAACAGTTCCAACAGAACACAGTTTCTCCCCCCTTCATGCTCTATGGTTGGACATTATATTTTTCTTGTGTGACTTTCCAGCAATATTGCAATTGGCGGGCAAACCGTCTGGCACACGCCATAGCAAATGCTGTGAGGACATCAGGAGGTAGTGACATGGACTCTCTACACTTCTCCCTTTGGCTTGGATCATTTTGATTGATCTCTTATTAAGACATGTACCCCTTTAGTTGTTTTTAATGAAAATTGTTTATCTCTTTTTACCAAAAAAAAGGGTTTCTTGCATATAAGGGCAATTTTTTGTCTTGAATAGCAATAAAAGATAATATTTTTATAAAATAATTAATATACGCTAAATTTTTTTAAAAAATATCAAAAACGAGCAATAATACTGTTTATTGTCTTCCTTTGCCCTTCGTTCGTTGCTCTCTCGCACAAAACCAACAGAACCCTCAGAATCAACAATTCCGGCCGGAAGACATCTTGGCTGGAGCTGTGGGTTTTAGGGGTTTTATCAGGGATTGCGAGGAGGGGGACATGACCCCCTTTACAAATGCAAGGTCCGTCTGCCAGTCCGCCGTGCCGTGCATATCCGACAACCGTGACTCGTGAGACTCTAAACGATAAAAAGAAAACAAATAAAATAAAAATAAACGGAGGTAAAGACTGACTGAGGAATGGGGAGATGTCATCATGTCATGTCCTCCTGGCAATGGTTTCAGACTTCAGTTCAGCTGCGTCTGTTTAGCAATTAGGCATCTGCCAGCGCCACCCATCAAACGCTCCCAACACTCTCCATGTGTTGGAAGCCCAAAATGATCTCTGACGATGTGGTCGGTTCCGCTGACGAGGGTGGTGATAGTAGCGGCGATGCATACGAGTAGGAGGAGGCGGAAGAAAGGGAGACGGAGAGCTGAAACCGGCATATTCGCTTTTCTCTTACCTTTTTGGGAAAACGGAGTCTACCAGACCTTCTTCAATTGTGGGATTCTAGCAGATAAGGGAGGATGAATACAGACGCAAAAAAGGAAGACGATGAACAGTATCATTGCCCTTCCTTGATATTTTTTTAAAAAATTATGTTATTTTTATTATTTTATAAAAATATTATATTTTATTAGTATTTTGGACAAAAAGTTGCTCTTAATTACTAAAAAAAATCTACCTTTTATAGAACAAACCAGCTAAGCCTCCCTTAGTTGGCTGTTAGTTGGATGTTTATGGTTTATTTGCCTTGACATTACAAGTGTATTTTATTGCAGAGCAACTTTATTTACGCTAGTACAAACACATGAGAGTGCAATTGAAAAGAATACAAATTCTGATTTAATTTTGTTTTTGGGTTTTTTTACCTTTTACTATATCTTGTTTCATGTCTTATTTTCCTTCAACTATATTACAATCAAACAAATTAGAGTAAAATTGGTAATCAAAATAAATCAAAATTTGCATTCAAATAATTTGTATTACTATACTTTTGCATGAATATAAATAAATTTGCCCTACAACCAAACACAGCTTTATTTATTTAACTACCTCTTGAAAGACATTATTAAAATAACAGAGCGATTATGTTTCTTTTGTATGGCTAGCGTGAAGCACACAGAAATGCTCAAACCGGCCACCACTCTGTGATAGTATGTATACATCTCCCTGCCAAACCTCTACCAACTAAAATATATTAATAGTAAGTTGTTTAATAATACCTTTTGAACAACTTGGGTAATTGAACTGGCTTAATAATTAATGCATAAGCAAAGCATATATAATTTAATACAATCATACATGTGGATGTATGAGTATATTAGTATAAATAGAATTTAGATTTAGGCTTGCATATGCACATCATTATTCACACTAGTGGGTGGCACGTGCAGCCTTGCTTCCATTGCCTGTGGAGGTAGTTGGGTAAATTTGGATATCAAGGGGGGTGTGTTTCCCACTATGTATGATTTTGTTTTTGAAAACGTAAATGATTGCCACATCAGAAAAAAAAAACAGTATAATTTTACTGATGTAACAGTTTAAAAAGAAAAACCATGTATAAGTGGTGAATTCCCCTAAGTTGAGAGGACATGCACATGAATGAATATTTAACACTCATCACAACCTTTTAGTTAGGCTTAAAAAACATCAGACCCTTTTAGTTTAATTAGGGCAAACAATAGTGTGTCATAGTGATTAGGGACCACCCCTTTATTCTGGAGGGTATGACACTCAGCACCCATTACACCTAATTAGCTTCTCTTTGTTAAATGACTTACACATTTCTAAAAGCATAAGATGCCCTTGATTTGATTTTTAGGACGACTTTGCTCTCTTTATAGGCGCCATTTTGATGGTCCAAAATCCAAATGATCATCAAAGCCATGTAGGGGTGATCGTTGATCGTTCCGGCCCGGCCCAGTTTGAATCTGGGCTTTGTGTTCAGGCCCAAGCCTGCATTATTTATATATTAATATCATACTATAATATAAAATGATACATATAATATACTTATGTCATAAAGTATTATATAATTTTTTACAAATTTATTTAGTGACTAAGGCCCAAATCCCGGCCCATGACCGCTCCTAACATCTGGACCATTGATCTCAGCTATCCAAATGATGTGCGAAGACTTCAAGGAAAAATGTACTAGTTAAATGTAAACCACTAGCTTCCGGATTGCTTAAATCATTGGGCCATTCATTTGTTACACAGTCTCATTCTCCTGACTTCTTTCCTCAACTTCAACAGTTAGTACAAAATGTAAAACCACTAGCTAAAAATGGGGGGGGGGGGGGGTCTGGTCTCTGTATACACTAACACCCATTTATGGATGATTCGCTAGGTATATATGGTAAGAGTAGGATATTTGAAGATCATGGTTTGATCAAAGGACGGAAGAGTGTATTTCAGGAGGAGTTAGGAGAATATTGCTATTAGCTAAGTATCTATAATCCAGCTTACATGAGAGCTAGCTGCCTCACATTGATAGGGTACACGATTGGTTGCGAGCCATCAAAAATATAATATGTAAAAATGCGAGCAGCTGCCTCCGTAGGATGGTAAAGATCCCAGAACACATGATCACTCCTGTTGGGACAATAGTGTGAAATGGGGACGCAAGCAACCTTGGCGTTAAGATTTCCCAGCCCACAACAAGCGGCCTTCACCTCAGTAAAACCTGTAACCACCGATAAACAAATCAAACTTGACATCTAACTATTGGAAAGCAGAGAGAGATTTTAATTCATTTGGTACCATAAACAGATGGTTTCTGTATGAAGTTGAGTAGGACAGTATAAGTATCGAAGAAAGAGTAGTTGATGTCCGGAAGGTCAGACTTCAATTCAAGGAGGAGTGACCTGACGCCTTCATTGTACTTAAGAGACCAGTAATTTGTTTCTTGGTTGCATTCCCCTGTTTTGTTCTGGTTCCTTTGTGATGGGCAACATCCTATCGCCCCTGCCCCAACCATCACCAACTTACGTGCACCCAAGTTGTATATCCGCTGCACCAGGCACAAAGCATGAATGAGCAATGTGATCATCTGGTCTGAGAGATCACCTACGACCTAGGTCAAAGTCAGCTCCATTTGGTCTAACTAGAACCGTACGATTAGTATCTATCAACATCTTCGTTTGTTTACCTTTAGTTGACCTCTTAGTGTGAGAACCATCAAATCCACATATTGCTGGGGAGTGTACTTATCACGGAGATCCGACCCCGAGTGGAAGTAACCGAGAATGTCGTTGCTTCCGATCACGATGCCATATATTGATTTTGAAAAGTATTTTTGTGCTCCAACGGCTCCTAGTTGTTGTACCATATCCCCGTATACGGTTGAGTAGTACTCGATCTGTTTGTTGAGCGGGATGGATTGTTTCTGCACTTGAAAATTTATACAAAATAAATTATTCAATAAAGTTAATGGTGGACTAGATACTTGCGGGGATAGCTCAGTTGGGAGAGCGTCAGACTGAAGATCTGAAGGTCGCGTGTTCGATCCACGCTCACCGCATTTTTATGTTTTTTTGTTTACAGTTTACGGTGCTCTGTTGGTTTGTGCTTACAAAAATATTATCGGAACCATCCAAAATTCCAGCACCTCCAGAAGCGAAGTTCACACCGCCCAGGAACGCGTTGCTCTTATTGGTCGCTGACGTAAGGGAGAGATACGGTGGCGAAGTCGGTAAACCCAGCTTCTCAGCTGCCAAACAACAAACAAACAGCGAAATCAAATTTTCCTATTTTATTTTATTCTGGATAAATATTGTTGAAAAAATATAAGCTTTATATATATATATATATATATTAATAATAAAAGATAAAAGATCCTTCATCCAAATTTCCTGCACTGACCAATTTCTGTGTGATAGTAGAGAGTATTATACTCTCACTCTCACATGAATTCAGAGAAAAAGTGCATATGTAGTATATACATATGCTTTTGGAGTGATATGGGCCGTTTCTCTAAAGTCTGAAATATCTGCATTCTGGAATTCACAAATGACAATTACATTGGTATTGGCAGGATGGGTGGAGATAGCTGCGTATAAAGAAAGCAAAATGAATATTTGGCCTTTTCTCAGAGAAGACACAACACTCAACAGCTCACATGTAATGTAATCTGTTCTCATTCATCAATGGTCAATGTTTCTGAATAACATCTATATGATCAGATACCAACAACCAACCTAGTTATTAGACTCTTGAGGTCTGTTTGGTTGTACATAAAATGAAGGAAAAAAAAATGAGAATCGTATTCCTAATTTTCCAACAATCCTCAATAGCTGAGAAAAATATTATATACGAGTAGGAAAAGATTTGAATTGTGATGAGAAACAAACACCTTCTTAGATAATAACTTGTATATAGAAAACCAGAAGGAAGCGATTCTCCTCTTACTTCATTTAATATAATTAACTGTCACTTTACATGCAACGAGTTTTAATAAATCATTCATTTTCCTCCATTTTACCTGCAATCAAGAGGAGCTAGCCTGCTAGGTGCAAAGTCGTTGTGTTTATAATTATAATGTATTTACGTACCCAGAAAGTCAGCTGCATTCTTTCCATTACTGAACCTTCCGGTGGGCTTCTTTCCTGGAAAATCAACGCCGTTGTGAGGAAAATCAGCCTTGGCAAGTGATAGTTTGAGGTGGTTGTTGTTGCCAACATCTACAAGGGAGTCTCCGAACACGAACACAGCCGGGACCATTTGGGCGTCTGTGTAGGCGCATCTCAACAAGAGGAAACACGCAACCGCAAGAGATATGTACTTAGCAGCCATTACACTCAGCTTCTTGCAATGCTAGCTCTCCCTCTCTGAACTCTCAAGAGATATGTACTTTGTGTGTTTGTTAGTAGAAGGATCTGAGCGAGGGTGATGAGCTTTTAAAGAGGTGGAAATGACGTTGACGGAATATGTATTCTGGACTTTGAAAGTTTTGACACGACTTTATTTGAGAAGCCGCGTGGGCTCTACAACAGCCGCTCTAGTGGGAGGAGGATACTCTTATGCCTTCTCATAGTTCACACTTCAAATCTTTCTATAATAACTCGTAAAGGGGAAAAGAAGAAAAAGGGAAAAAAGGGAAAGAAACTTATAAATGGCTGATACTTGATAGGGGTCGAAGAACATGATGAAAGTTTACTTTCAGTAATGGATGTTTAATGTTTAATGTTTAATGTTTTACTACAAAGGGCTCACCTTTAATTTAAAAGCCTGTGTGCTGAAGGCTTTTAAATTAGAATAAATGTTCTTAGATTGAACTGGCTTGCCGCAGAGTTGGAACCTTTTGGCTTTAGGCTCGCAGATGATCTGTTAGAAATGGGTGTCCACAGCATCAAGACGAAGGATTCCAATGGGTTAAATTCTTTATGTGGGGTCTCTCTGCCTCACAATGTCCCCCAAGATAAAAGGGTCCAACCAGGCCAATGGGTTCTGCTTAAGGAGGACAGCCTAGCTCCACTTCCCAGAAGGATTCTGGCACCTTCCTGAACAGCCACTTCATGTGCCCTTCAGTACCAATTTAGGGTTGTTAAAAGTTCAGCTTACTGATGGCCCATATATTAATTGTATTGTCATTAGACACCATTTTCTAGGAATACTAAATCGGTAAAGTATATTAGATCCCTATTCCCTGTTACCCTCAAAAGCAAAGTGGCCCTAAAGCACACTCTGCCGATTGCCAATATGGGTTAGAACCAGACGATCATATAGCAATGACATTCCTCATGTACACCCTCGTAACTAAGCCTCGAGACTTGAGAGTAAAGAAATGGAGTTTTTTTTTTTTTTATATGGGTACAAATACAAATATGTAGAGTGCAAAATCTTGTATATTTTGTACTCCTTCCAAAATTGAGCCAAAGGTTCAGACCCCAAAAGTGCAAGCACGATCCGCCCAGTTACGCTCCCTGTTTGAAGTTTGAACCCAGCATAGATAGGTCATTGAACAAATGGGATGCCAACCCAGACAAGTGGCACTTCTGGGATCATCAGCCGCGTTTATAAATAGTTGTATCTCAACTTTGTGGGTGGAGTCGACAATTAGTAAGTGGATTCTATTGAGACGCTTGGTGGATCTTTCTTCCATGTAAAGTGAGGAGCCCTATCTATCTTTTTTACTCAGACTTAGACTTGACGTCGTGGGCGTTGGGGCAAAGACACCGACCATACTCAACCCACTTTCTCAAGTCTCTCATGTCATGTGTGGGCCAAAAAATTGTATTCCTATTTGTATTTATATATTGATTTAAAGTATAGAAAGCCCATCGCTTTCAAGGTTGGTGAGGTCGCACTCTGATTGAATTGCATTGGAAATATTTGCATTGCTTGGTTGTGGCCCATCTCCGCATGACCCGCATGCTGACCTGCTGTGTTGGTTGGAATCTCATCCTCTATTCTGAGTCCTGTGTCTGTGAGTGATAAAGATTGGATTCAGATCGAGAGATGTTCCAGAAAAAGGGAAACAAAAGAAGCAATTAGCATTGCAAGTGCTATACTAAAAGTGAACACCATGAAGGAAGCTCGTTAGGTTTCTTAGAATTCCTTAAATTGTGATGTTGTGCAATTTATTATTGATTCCTGGTCCCACCGGCCCAGCCTCAACTCTCAAGTCAGGCGGCGTTTGTGGACCATGCAATTAATTGGACTAAGAGGTAAATTAAAGGAGTGGGACATACATCAGTACGTACACCTGTCATAATCCTACTGAACATATTCAATCAAATGGAGGAAAACAAGACACCTTTACTGTTCACCATCTTCAATGGATCTCAACCTCACGAGATAGGGTAAGTCCTCTAATCTTCGCCGTTAACGATTCTATCTGTTTGCAGTGCGAATTGATGTAGTGCAAATAGGTACGTAATTGAGTATAAATTGATATAGGTTTGTTTTTATTTTGAATTTCATTGATTTATTTGTTTTAAAGTAAAATGTGAAGCAAAACGGTTTGTTCTAAGAGAAAATAAAGATAGAAGGAAGATGAGAAGTAAAATGATGTAATCTCCATTTTATAAAGAGAATGAAGGCAGTGGTCCAATTTTTGTATCAATTCTTGGGATGCAAAATTGGCATTGTCAATTAATGCCAACGACACAAAAGGTGTAAGTTTTGCATGAGGTAGAGGTACAAATCATAATCCTAAGCAATTTATCAACAAATCTTAAGGCTACATTAATGGTGATCCGAATTTTTATTAAGTTCGAATTCAACTCCAGTAATGGTGATCGAATTCGACCCGTTTACAATTGGATCGAATATCCCTATCTGATCTAAGAAAATTCCATTCAATTTGATTTAAATATATATACTTGAAATTGGTTTAGATTTTGTGTTTTAACAATTTGTCGTAGGTTCAAGTTTCATACATCATGTTATTTTTCATTCATTTTGTTCATGAAATAGAAGATCAATAATATCAAAGTCATTTTTTAGTTTGTTACTGCAATCTGAATTGGACTTGATCCGTTTGCAACTCTTAACAAATTCATGTCAAGTGAAAATTTTAAACCCAATTTGGACTTGTACAGCAAGCAAACTGAACAAGCATCATATAGTCGTAAATGTTTGCATGCAGACAGATTGAGTAGGGAGAAATCTATTTTCTTCTTCTTCTTCTTTTCTTTGTACTCTGTGTCATTCAGTCTCAGACCACTCTCTCGTTTCATCATTCTTTTTTCTGCCTTTACTCTCCCTGTCCTTCTGTCAGAACTCAGAAGTAGTTAATCTTCGCCTAAATCACTGTTCAACTGTTTGGACATAGGCGTGCGTTCAGAACATAATTCCAAAGGCAGAGCCAAATAATGATAAGGAGTTGTGTAAAGAAGCCAAATGTCAAAAACTGCCTTCTTTGTGGATTTTGTGCATGTCAGACCAATGGTGAATAAGAACAGAGGAGGCTATTTCCGTATTGTTTAATTAACATACGCACAGAGAGAGAGAGAGGGAGAAGTGGGGGAGGCATTGAGCTGGTAGACATCTGGCAAGTGAAAGCGAAACTCTATGTATTAATTGATCAGCGTCCTGCAGTGGAGGTGGAGGTGGAGGTGCGCACTGCGCAGGCCCCTTATCTTTGAGGTTAAATTTGATGGGTGGCCCTGTTTTGATTGAATCCGATGCCCAAGTAACCACGGACAGCATCAGGCTCTCGGATGACCATGGAGGATTGTCGCTATCTTTTGACTTTTGAGGATGATCAGTCCTGCTATTTCTGTCTCTTTTTGTTCTTGTAGTCGTGTTGCGCATGATTTGGCTAAGATGGCCGTTCAATTGTGTACTAGTTCTTTCTGAGAGGGTGATAAATGGTCGTCTTATTCCGTTTGTGATGGTGAGTGAAATATACCCTGTCCCATTTTGGTCTCAGAACTATAAAAATGTGATAATTCAGTATTCGAATTTTTAAAATGTGTCAATTCAGTATCTACCGTTAATCAGCTGTTAAGTGGCATTTTAAAAAGACACAAATGCCCTTCAAGTGTCATAATTTTCTTTATCAACCATTCAAACATTGACAAAAAATTAACATCAATGGGCATTTTGGACCCAAACTTTCTTGAATAAAAGAGGTAAGGATTTAAGGCTGTTAATTTTTTTTTTTTTTATAACGTTTGAATGGTTGATAAAGAAAATTAAATAACACTCGAAAGGCATTTATGTCTTTTTCAAATGCCATTTAACGATTAGTCAACAACTGATTAACGATAGGTACTGGATTAACACATTTTGAAAATTCGGATACTGAATTGTCGCATTTTAAAGCTTGGGGAATAAAATGATACTAGGCCCAAAGTACAAGGTACTAATAGAAAATTTACCTTCTAGGCTTTGCATCAACAATAAAAAGTTGAAAACAGGGGTAATTGGAGAGTTCATGATATTTAAATGATGGATTACTCCAGAAAACAGGGACACTTTTGTCAATTTGAGAAAGGTGGTCCTTTCTCAAACTACCTTCAAAACAATATTTGTATTCGCTTTTTTTCCTAGAGCTTAGTTTGGAAGTAGTACACATACAAACATAAATATAAATATGTACAATATAAATATACATGGTTTAAAAATACAGTAGATAAAGTTGTGCATTTTACATTTGTATTTGTATTCATTCATGTATATTTTCTCTACTTAATAGTAAGGGTATCAATGGACCGGTTTTGGATTGGACCTCGTCCAGTCCAAAATCAATTTGAATGGATTAGATGGACCAACAAGACATATTGGATTGGACCAATATGGTCCAAAATATTTGTTAGATTGGATTGGACCTGGTCCGTCTGTAACAAATTTATATTGGATTGGGTTGGATTAAACCAATATCTAGTCCATTGATATAAGATAAGAATATGTGTCAATGAACCGGGTTTGGGTTGAAACCAATGTAAATCAAAATGAATTTGAACAGATTGAATGGTCCAAACATTGAATTGGACCGGTCCAAATTAGTCCAAAACATGCATTGGTTTGTGATGAAGGGTGATTTGGCATGACCTAATAGAAAGGGGACACGTAGGTGCGATCTGATTGAAGGATGACAATTCAGCCAGGCAAGCCCAGTTCGCGACCTTCGCAGTTCGGGTATCCAGCCACCTCGGCCCAAAACCCGCCTCGGCATAGAGGCACTTCCAACATCCAATCCAGTTAGGGACTGAAGAATCGAAGTTCCAACTCGGAGCTAATGAGCCGAAGCGTCGTATAACCAACTCCAAAGGCCTCCCCAACAGATCCCGAATCTCTTGGGGTCACGATGAGCCAACAGATCCCGAATCTCCCGAGATCACGATAAGAACTCATCCCGGTGCCGCCTGAATCGGAGGTGGACGATAAGCCTCATCCACGTGCCGCCTTCCTCCAAAAACGGAACCAACCTTATCTTTACAGCCCAAAGAATCCGGAGCTCTTTCATAAAGCCCACGACTACTCCAGTATATAAAGACTCGAAATCTCAAGGAAAAGGTACGCGTGATTACTCTACTCTCTAGCACTCAAGCTCTCAAGCATTCAGCTCGCATTCACAGCATAATTATTGACTTAAGCATCGAAGCAACCTCGCCGGGTTAGCTACCCCCGGTTCTCTGATACACTGTTTTGTAGATCGATCCAGCTCGTCGTCCATCTAGAGTTCGGATCGCCCTCCAACTAGGAGTAGTAAAATCGCGCACCATCAATTGGCGCCTTCTATGGGAAATGATCAAAAGGTCACCCCTACCTCTTTGTAGTTTCAAGCTTAACCTCAATCTCAATTGCATCCTCCAGCCACACCGGAAAAAGTGTCAAGATGAACACCACCGGGGGGCAAGCCCAGCAGCCAACCTTGCCCCAAGCTCCTACGGTGTGCATCGGCCAGTTCACCATTCCGCTCATAGCGTCTGGAGTCCCATCACTGACTGCACCACCGAGCAACACACAAGTGAGAGCCCCACTTTCCCTAGTGGTAGGCGCAACTTTCTTGAGCCCTCCATGGTTCCTCCCAGAATTGGGCATTCCCAGTTCCACGACCTCGTTTAGTGCGTCCGGGCTATTCAGATCCAGATGCAGCAGGTCCAACAGTTTTAGCAGTACCAGTAGTATTACTTCTACTAGCAATATCAACACCAGTTCCCTCCACTACAGCTAAACTAGCAGTCGCTCCCACCTCGGCACCCAGGGCCTCATCATGGTCAGAATCCGAATCACCTTGGGATTAACCAGAACATCAACCGACCACCCCATCGGGGCGAAGAGATCTCACAAGTACCGATTCCTCTCAAGAGTCAGGTCTTGCCCCGTGGGAGGAGAGACAGTCAGCACACTCCGCCAACCTCACAAGGAAATGTCAGAAGTAGGTCCAGGGATAGTCAACCTAATCCGCCTCGGTACTCACAGCGAGAGAATGATGGCTCGTGAGCAGATAACCAGTTGGGGGTTTGAGGTGCGAACTCAAGACAAGGCTTCTCTACCCCTCGTGATAGCCAACTCCATAATCCCTCAAGAAACCAGGATCTACCTCGTGATAGGGCCACAGTACCAGATCAAACTAAAGTCAGCAGCACCAAAGCAGAGCTAGTGAAAAAGCAACAGCGGAGACGTTGCAAGACACGCCGTACCTTGGTCAAGAACAACCTGCTAGCAAAGCCAGACCAGCGAGAAGAGCAAACTAAAGGGAAGGAAGAAGCGAGCTCAGTGGCTACAAAGACCACACCTCCACTACTTTGCAGGTCATCTCCTCTGTCTCCCGAGCTCTTGGCGACTCCAATACCAAAAGATTTCAAGATGCCCCCGTTAGACAAGTATGACGGGTCATTCGATCCTAATGATCATGTGGACTCTTTCCAGAATCAGATGCACCTAGCTAGGGTTGATGAGTCTTGCATGTGTGTAGCCTTCTCTACTACATTTAAAGGGGTAGTTCGAACTTGGTACTGGAACCCCGTGCCGGCTCAATCAAAAGCTAGTCGCAGTTCTCCGACTTGTTCATTGCACACTTCATCACCAGCAAAAAGTGTCCAAAGTCGCAGGAAATCCTTCTCAATGTGGTTCAGAGGGAAGGAGAATCGATCAGAAGCTATATCAAGCGCTTCAACGACACTTGCTTGCAAATACCAGACCTCGACCCGGTAGTAGACTCACTGCAGCCAAGAAAGGAATCACCCACAAGGAGTTTAAATGGCATGTGGTAGCTAATAAACCGAAAGACATCATCGAGTTCCTCAAGTTAGTAGATGAGTTCATTGGTACCGAGGAGGAGATCAATCAGAAGGTTGATAACCCACCACCAGAAAAGAGGAAGAGAGAAAATGAAGGGACGAGCAGTGGCAGACAGAAGAGGAAGAAAAGCAAGTCCCCGAGCAGGGGAAGAAACAACTCCAGAAGTCGGTCCCCCTCGCGATCTCGTAAGTCAGGCCGGCGCTCTAGAACCCCACCTGTGGAGACAACGAACTACACGCCCTTGAAAGCTAAAAGAGGAGAGATCCTAATGGCCATTAAGGCCTCCTCCTTCATCAAATGGCCTCCCAGGCTAAGGGGAGACCCAACAACAAGGAACTCGAATGTTTATTGCTACTTTCACCGAGATCACAAGTACAGTACAGAGAACTGCAGGAATCTTTGCAACGAGATCGAGGAACTCATCCGACGCGGATACCTGAAGAACTTCATCTTACGTGAAGAAAGGGGACAAATAGACCGACAGGGGGACCAGAGGAGGAATGCCCTAGAAGCCAGCAAGCAGAACGAGCAACCGCCACAACAATTGCCAGAAGAGAGACCGATCCATGGGGTAATTAACATGATTACCGGCGGGTCCATCATCGTGGGGTGTACATCGGCAGCCGGGAGGAACTCGGTTCGTGAGCTAGAAAATGAAGTGGAAAACCCATCAAAGTGACCTCGGCTTGAAGGACCGATATACTTCACTAAGGATGATGCACACGGGATCCAGTATCCTCATGACGATGCTCTAGTAGTAAAGCTGTGAATCAATGACTTCGAAGTAAAGCGGATATTGGTAGACTCAGGCAGCTTGTCCGATATACTCTTCAAGGAGATGTTCGATAAATTACAGTTACAACAGAGCGACCTGAAACCGGCAGACACCCCTTTAGTAGGGTTCAGCGGTGAGGAGGTCAGACCTCTTGGGTGAGTCATAGTACCTATAGAAGCCGGCACGTGGCTGAACATCGTGCAGTTTGAGCACACCTTCCTGGTAGTCACGACTCCATCCACCTACAATGCCATAGTAGGTCGGCCCATCACGCATGTTCTACGCGTGGTAGTATCCACTTACTATTTGGCGATGAAGTTCCCAACTAATTACGGGATGGGAGTCGTGCGAGGTGACAAACTCGAGTCGCACAAATGCTACATAGCTGCTCTTAAAGGAAAGGTAAGGCTAGCAGAAGATGTTGAGCTCGAGCGACCTGCGGAGTACACTAACGAGCGAGCTGCCCCTACTTACCGGTCTCTGTTGACGAACCGGCCAAGACTCTCCAGATCAGTGCCTTGATCAATGAACCACTCCGCTCCCAGCTAATAAGTTTCTTATTCGAAAACTTAGATATTTTTGCCTGGTCCATTTATAATGGACTCACATTGGATTGGATCGGATTGAACCAAATCCAGTCTAATTGACACCCCTACTTAAGAGGATAACTTAGCTATGCACAAGAACCAATCTTCCAATCAAGATTAAATTGGGTTCCATTTTCCAACTTTGTCTTGGACCCTGCTATTATGTTCACCATTAACTTATTATCATCCTCATTCATAATCGTAGGTACGAGACAAAAAAAACAGGGATAAAAAAAAATTACAGTATGTTGGGTTGGGCCTATTCAAATTTTGACAAAATCCCAACCATAATCCGCCCAAATTAAACAATTAGATGTAGGGTGCCACTGTTGATTACATAGCCACTAAGGCACTAACTAAGCAATCCTAGCTCAATAAAACGAGTCTGAATCACCTGCCAACAAAATACATTTCAACACCTTACCAATAACATCTGAGACCACACATCTCATACATGGCAAGTCCCTCAATCCTTCAAAGTATAGAAGACACTAAATTAATACCATATGGATGCTTACAATCAGTTCATAGCTTATCGGTTGCTTGCGATAAACTTATAATGCATCACACGCTCACGATAAATACACGGTTCATCGCACGTTTGTGACGGACTTGTACTTAATATGAGACTAAAACATGTTATAGTTAAATCTGCGATGAACTTTGAACGGATGCAACTCTGTGATAAACCTTAGAGACACACAATCTAGCAATGAACTCCAGAGGAGTGCGGTCTTACAATAAACCCTGGATCACTACAAAATCCCGGTTCGTTAAGAACCAGGCTTAAATATTAACCGCATGTGTAATTCTAAGTAGCGCACGTAATAGGGCGCCGCGTAGGTTTAGTAAAGGGGCCGCCTGTTATGTAGTGACGTCAGTAGCGCCACGTCGGTTAAGTAAGGTGCAAAAAGGTGGTAGTACACGTGGGTTATGATAATCCTCGGGTGAAAGACCGTACATAGGGTTATGATAATCCTAGGGTTATGATAACCCTAATAATGCTCTTTAATGACTGACAACAGATTTAATATTCTCTTTCGTAATAGAAAACGAGCATTTTTTACTCCTTCCTTTTGGGACCTTGGGATCCCTACTTACAAATAAAGATCCTCCTCATAACAAAATTCATTCATTCAATTCTTGAGCAACCCTATCACTGGATTCCCTACTTAGCCGTCTCATAACTCCCCCGTGCAAGTGACTAGTGTGAATATATATATTCCTAACACATAGGCATCAAGTACGCTAGGTGTGGATACAATTAATCTAGCATGTAATATGTAAAGATGTAATTCCCCTCCGTGATGTGTGTTACACAGTTTCAGTTCCATAAATAGGTGGAACTCGATTTGTCATCTCTTTTTATCAAGTTCAAATTTGGGTTCCAGGGCCAAATTTGGCTTTAATTTTAAAGAAGATATCCCTTTAACTTCAAGCACCAGCCAGTTCTCTTCTACTTTAAGTACCAGCTAATCCTCTGTAAGCACCTTAGCTTATTTTTGTTTCCCTTCTATATATAAGAAATACTCAAGATAGCAGCATTATTGCTGAAATTTACAAATCTTCTGCATTTTGTTTATGATGATAAAGAACAAGTGCAGGATATTATCAATGCCTGCTCATGCTCTTCCATTGAAAGTATGAAACCAACTAGCTAGAAATCTGAATACCTTCAATAGTGCTTCTCTCACAACCCCCCCATACTCTATCCTTCCTATCATGGCAAGGAACGTAAGATTGGTCGACCAAGGCTCCTATGTATTTCCACTACATCCTCTCTCTCTCTCAAACACAGACACAGACACACACAGAAGATTATTAATTTTTTTTTTATTCACATTGGTATCTGGTGTAGGTTATACTGGACAATGGATTGGTTCAGCTTACGATTTTAAAACCAAGTGGGTTGCTGACAGGCATAAAGTATGGAGGGATGGACAACGTACTGGACCTCAAGCAAAGTGAATCCAATCGGGGGTAATATAAATCGGTACTGAGGTTATCTTATGATTTCTTGTTATTTTGTATCTGCACGCGCTCACCAGAGTGTTGGGATATATAGAATCCAAATTGAGTTGTCCTTAATCCTCACTAATCTCCACCAACACTCGTAAAATTTCTCTTTACCTGACTACTCTGTTTTCAGTCTTGCATTTTGGATAACATATACGTGAAGAATGTTTTGTGCAGATACTGGGACATCGACTGGAGCCCACCAGGTGATCATGACATCTACCAAAGGTATGTACGCCTTTGTCTTCATTAATTGAAGCAGCTTTTGCTATCAACAAATCCCTCAGAACCCATTTCATCGCAATCCTGCTCATCATGTTTCTCACTGAGGAGGGATCCTGGACAAAATTAAATTAAAAGTTTTTTATTTGCCTTGAATTAAACAGATTAAATGGGACAGATTACAGTGTTGTTCAATCGTCTGACGACTGTGTAGAGGTCTCATTCAAGCGTATCTGGGATCCATCAGCTACCGGCATCGTATTGCCACTCAATGTAGATAAGAGGTCTTGTATAGTCTATGAGTTTGTGTTTTTCTATTTGTGCCACCGTCTCGAATCATTTTAGTTACTTCCTAAATGAATAATTTCAGGTACATATTAAGGAGTGGTGTTTCAGGCTTCTACTGCTACGCAATATATGAGCACCCTGCCGGAAGCCCTGCATTCGATCTGACGCAGACGAGGATGGTTTTCCGGTTGAGAAGAGAGAAGTACCTTTTAGCCTTGCACCCATTTGATTCAAGAACTCACTACGTAAAATTATGTTAAAAGACAGCAAATTAACAATAATCAGCTAATATATATATATACCATTTTAGGACTCGTACAACATGTGAAATTCAATCTCCCTCCAATTAATGTAGCACAAACGTGCTCAGTAATTGAAACACAACAAATATTCAAATACATAGGAAAAGATGCAAGAAGAATTGAATACGATATACGAGATATCGGGAGTTATTGGCTAGTTTCAGTAACTAAGCTCTGGTGATTGATTCATCTGTTTAGGCAAGTCAATACAAGGGTTGATGGAGGCACCCATCTGATTAATTTTAAATAATGCAGATTTCACTACATGGCAATCACAGATGAGAAGCAGAGGATAATGCCAATGCCAGAGGATTTACTTCGTCATAGATCCAAGCAACTCATTGTCCCTGAATCATACTTGCTCACTAATCCCATTAATCCAGATCTAAAAGGCGAGGTATGCATAAGTAAACCACATGGTAAAGCTCCTGAATTAGAGTCCAAATTACACAAAACTGATGGTAGTCTTTTCCCTTGTCTGTGTGTGGTTTCCACTTTCAGGTGGATGACAAGTACCAGTATTCGATGGACAACAAGGATGGTGGAGTCCACGGATGGATAAGCTCCGACGGCCCTATTGTTGGATTTTGGGTCATCTTCCCCAGCAATGAGTTCCGCAATGGTGGACCTACCAAGCAAAATCTCACCGTCCACACTGGTCCAGTCTGTCTGGCGGTAAGTAACCAAAACTTAAATACTGCAATCCAATACTTCCATGTTAAGTCAGTATATGTAATCTGTCAACGAATGCAACAACAACTAATGAAATGAAGCCTGAGACCCAAGTCCAAAATTGAAGTAACAATTAGATGTATGTTTGTCTGATACTTTAAGTTTGTTAAAGCTTCTACATGCAGATGCTTCATGGAACTCATTATATTGGTAAGGATATGGTGGCTCATTTTAAAGGAGAGGCTTGGACGAAGGTACTGGGACCATTTTTCGTCTACCTTAATTCGACCCCAGATGAATCTAATGCACACGACTTGTGGGTCGACGCAAAAAGACAGGTAATTGCCCCCGTTCCCATTGAAACACCATTTTACCGGTGGCCGGTGGCTGGCCTGTGGGTTGGTCTATAATTGAGAGTTTCCAGACCGCCAAATATGGTTAGAAACAGTATGAATGTGTTAAAGGAACTGACCTCTTGTTCAGATCATTTTGGACGGTTAAGAGTTAAGACCATCCAACTGAACCTGAAGGCCAAGGCTTTGTATTTACGAGTAGACTGTTCACTGCCCGTGCTTATTAAATCTCAACAATAAAGGGTTGCTTAATTATTGTTTGTTTTCTTCATGGTCCTGATCATTCTCCAGAGGCTGTTTGAAGAGACTATGTGGCCATATGATTTCGTCTCCTCACAATATTTCCTTACTGCTGACGAACGGGGTTCAGTTTCAGGAAGATTATTTGTTCAAGATAGGTGAGGACTCATCCTGTAAGGATTTCTTTTGACAAGCCTGAAGGTTCTATTGCAACTCATTTAATCGCCTCATAATTCACCACCAATTCGAATATGCAGATTCGTCTCTGGAGATCTTATTCCTGCCAAATGTGCATATGTTGGCCTATCAGTTGCAACTAGTGAAGGATCTTGGCAATTAGAAAGCAAGGTAACCTACCAATTGTCTACATTGGTGCCAAGTTAAGTATAAACCTTAACAGTACTCTATAAATACCAAGAGGAGAAACACCCAACTTGTTGTCACTGTCCAATAGAAAGCTATAGGATTAAGCTCATCCAATGAGTTCCAATTTAGGTTCTGTTTGATTGCACATAAAATGAAGTATTTACTGAAATATGCTATTCTCCAAAAGGTGGGTTTGCTAGTTATGGGAAAACAACAGTTCTTATTTTCTGATGGGTAATACAGATTCATATCTGGACTAATCAGGTTTGTTTTCCAAGTTAAACAAATCACCAGGAAAATATGAATCTGAGAGTTTTCCTGTTGAACATCATTTTCCATGCAATAAGGAAATGATTTAATTTATCTTCCTTCACATCTGGCATGCAACCAAAGTCAGGTCTAATCAGAAAAGCATATTATAGAGGTGGAACTTGAACCAGTACCATAGGAATTAATTCAAACAAGATTGGCATGCTTGTAATGAAGAATTAATAAAAAGTGTTAATTGAAATCTATTAATCCATGTTATGTTGGTTAATATGTGTTCATGTTAATGTTGTGCGTATGAAGGGTTATCAGTTCTGGGTACAGACAGATTCAAATGGAGAATTCACCATCAACAATGTGATTCCAGGCTCTTATAGCCTCCACGGATGGGTTCCGGGTTTTATTGGTGATTACCTTGAGAAAGAACCGGTCCAAATCTATCCCGGTACTCCCATTCCTCTTCCAACAATTAATTATCTCGACATGCAAATAGAAAAGGCGCAGTACTGTAGTCTTTCTTTAGCAGCTATTTCCGTTCCTTAGTTAACATGGATTTTTAGTTTTAGCTTAAGACGGAAAACAGAAGCATTAACAAAAATACTTTCAGTGTTCTAATAGAACGATTTTCAACTACTTCAGGATCAGAGACACAACTTGGCAATTTGACATATGTACCGCCGAGAGATGGTGCCACTGTATGGGAGATTGGGTTTCCAGATCGTACTGCAATGGGTTACTATGTGCCTGATGTGAGCCCACTATACGTCAATAAGTTGTATATCAACAGTCCTGAAAAGTAAGAAACTTTGGCTCTTTCTATAAATGTTGCTCATTGTTTAACCTTATCATGCATTTCTTGGAATGGCATGTTGTAGACTGTTCTTGTTTCAAGTCTTTTTGATTTTTTCTTCTTACTAGAATCATCTGCCAAATGCAGATATAGGCAATATGGACTATGGGACAGATACGCAGATATATACCCTGAATCTGATCAAGTTTTCACAGTTGGAGTTAATGATTCCGGAAAAGATTGGTTTTTCGCCCATGTTGACAGGTAGTGTCTGTCCCCTTTCTGCTATGAAAATTGAAAATAAACATAGGCAATACTCACTACTCACTAGATGTACTTCTTCTTGTATTAAACGCTTTTTCTTTTCATTTCACTGTAAAAGACAAATCATAATAATAGTTCTTCCTTGGATGATTCACCACCTAAAAGGCTAAAACCATAACTTTGGGGGGATGAGTGGCTTGATGGGACACTCAATGATAAAGTCAGCACAAATATTTTGGCATTGGATTTCCTGATTGATATTCTTTCTACCCAGTTCTGACTTCTGAACTAGTGTTCACTTGTAAGCCATTGACTCCCCTTTTCAAAACGAGGATTGTTTCAAATTTTCACAGGAGGCGACCAGATAAAACATATGTTCCCACAACTTGGGCGGTGAAATTTAATCTTGATTCCTTGGCCGGTGGAACTTATAAACTGAGAATTGCAATTGCATCAGCAAATCGTTCTGACCTTCAGGTACTGACTAACACGCAATTGATCATCATTCATGGACTTGCTTTAAAAACTTGGTCCAATTACAGGTCCATGTCAATTATCTAGATGAAGATCATCTGGTCTTTCAAGTATTGGACTTGGGGATGGATAATGCTGTTTGTCGACATGGAATCCATGGATTATACCGGCTCTTTAGCATCGATATTTCCTCATTATTGTTGTCTGAGGGAGATAATACAGTATTCCTGACACAAGCCAGAGGAGGAGACGCGCTCTGCGGAATATTTTATGATTACATAAGGATCGAAGCACCTGCTTTGTCCATTAAGTACAGTGGTCAATAGAATGAAAATGGAGCATCAGTTCATTTACCACATGAGCTTCAATATAGAATTTTTAATGACTGGATGGGCTTCGTCAACTGGTGCTTAATGTTTCACTTTCATCTCACAAATCATACTAGCATGATTGACCACTTAATTCTTAAAATGCTTTGTTTCTTCGTTGATATTACAAAGGTAATTGATATCTTTTAATCATACAACCAAATCTAATTTAGTTTGGATTCTTCCTAGTCAGGTTAGGGTCACGTTTATTCAGGTGCAGGGTCAGATAAGAGTTTTAATCTTTCAACCAAAGTTAGTTTTGGGTTTCACTATCCCAATCCATCCGGTCACGACTCCCAAAAACATATAAAAGTTATTCTTATAATTTGGTATGACTTGTAACCCCATTGTTTGTTTTGGTTTTTCTTCTTTCACTGTGGTCTGTGGAGAAACTGACACCTAGGATCCCACAAACCAAATTCTGTTGATCGGGACGAATTGGTACAAGGTTGTACGCTGTAGGGTAGGACGGTTTGGAATTGGACTTTGCATGTTAAATCCATTTGCACAAGATTATATTTAAATTTTACAAATATGCAAGAGTATGCCTTCTATCCAAAAAAACAGTGAATACAGAAATGTTAAAGCATTTTTCCACAGAAATTTGGAAGATACAAAAAGACATAATAAGGTACCAAGTCCTTTACACCACTGTGACTGAGCCCACCAACTGTACAAAATTGCTCTAAGGGACAATAATATAAATAATAGCAGCACTGTAGTAACAAGGGCATCAACCCACTGGACTCAAAAGTTAAAACTTGATTCTGCATCTTCATCTCCTAGCACCGTTTAATTGTCAAGAGCAAGCCATAATGATCACTAGGCAAAACAGGGAGCACCAACTTTTGTATCTCTTTCTTTACTTTCTTCTCTTTGCAGTAAGAAAGTCCTGGTATTGCTTCCTTCCCAATCAAATCAATCCGTTGAATACTGAAATTGTGTAAATTGCATACAAATCGATCTAATCGCTTCTGCAATGTCCTGTTACCAGACAACATTTGATTGGACTTTGTATCATATGTCCATCCATTTTCCCCAGGCCTGAGGTCTGCCCAAGCATCAGCCCAACCTTCATGCAAGGGAAACTGACCATCCAACTTGTCATCCCAGTTCATATCGCCACCAAATATGACATTTTGAAGGTCCTTGAGAATATTAAGGGCTTGCTTTGCCTGAGCTACACGTTCCTTGCTGTACATTTGATCCCATTTGGGAGGTGCTGGACAAGGACTCTCAAGGTGACTAGTGGCAACAACCAATGGCTTATCAATCCCAACTTCAATCTCAGCAACACAAAGTTCTCTACCCATTATGGAGTTGCTGAATGGTGTACAGCTGAAGGATTTAACAGGTAGTTTACTTAACTGCAAATGATTTAACAGTTCAAACTTCATTATTGACACAGCAGAATTAAATTAAGAACTGGAGAAAATATAACATATAACAGGACAAGAAATCTAAAGTTAGAGAGGAATTCAACAGACTAACTTTTGGCAAAAGCATGGTAGAAGAAAAGAAGGGAATAATACAGGAGACTGATGTCAAAGAAAGCAAGTAAAATTTGAAGTAGAAGCTAGAAGATAAATAAACGCATAAAATATGCAGCATAAGAACAGGTAAGCACCAAAGAAAAGGTTATCTTCAAGTTTGGGAGTCTAGATCTGCTATGCGCTTTTGCCTCCAAAGTTGCTGCACACAATCAGTGTACAAAACCTGTCCTGCAAACACGTTTAGCAGTCCACAGGTGTGATGTGTGAGACTAATAATACCATCCATCATACCACTTATTATTTTTAATTCTCAAAACCTTTGAGAATGATCCTGAACCCTAACTGTATCTCTGTTCCAATGACTGCTACCTACATCCACAATGCCAGTAATTGTTCTCCCACTGGCACCCTTCCAGCCAGCCACAGATAAGAGGCCCTCAGAGATACCGTTCTTCTGTGTAGCCCTGACTGCAATTCTACTCTCCCACAAGTGTCCCTTCATGACACTTTCACTTGTTCCCTGTTATCCCACCAGTGCCCTTCCTGCCAGCTGCGGACAACCCAACAAGTGAGGCTGCAACTTTTTCCTTTTTTATTTTTGTTATATGTTATATCATTGGACTCAAGGCTGCAACTTGGGTTGGCTGAGGCTGAGCAGTTGTTAAAATTTGAATGGGCCCAGCCAGAGGTCCCAAGTCTAATGCTGTGTGAATTCTTCAAGTTGGGTACCCAACCTTATTTTTTACAAGTGGTATAAACTTGTATTGCTACAAAGTAGGGGCAAATCTCCGAATCATTTACAATGATTTTTCACACAAATCCTCCTACATTTATTGCTTAAGAAAAAGATGAAGTAATATCCAAAAAAAAAATTGAGGTTTCCTAGGAATCAAACAGATGCAAAATAAGACAACTTTTCTTAACTGCACTCCCTTAATCCAGCTAATATTTTTGTGCACCACATCCATATTGATCTTAGAACTCATATTCAGGGCCAATTTCTTATACATTCTATGGTAATTGATGGCAATAGCAAGTATGAAGCGGCTGAGGAAGAGAGAGAGAACATCATCTGTGTAAGGGTTGTGCTACAGCATCAGCAGGAAAAAAAACATCCTAAAGAGCACAAAGACCAAGGTGAGCACGGGGCCACAGGCATAACCATGGGTGAGCCACCCAAAGAAAACCCAGGCAAGAATGACTAACATGTTCCAGCTTGTCTCAGTGAGCATTTAGGTCAGCAAAAATGCAGACAAGGGTGCATGATAAGGATGCCAAGTATGACATTTTGAGCTGTGAAAGTTGATTCCAAACAAGAGAGGTGGAAGCTCAGCGACCCTTGAATGGGCTCTTTGACAGGTATGAGTGGAATTTAGGATCATCTCAGGTTTGGTCAACATGTAATCACCAATCATTTTGGAAGGAGACAAGTGGGTGGCTGATTATATTTGGAGATGGAGATAGAAAGGTGGGGCAGTGGAATGAAGGTTAAGTGATGTGAGTCTGCATTTATACTTTGAATAGTGGAGGGGAAACCAGTTGTGTAGTTAGGAGACATAGTGGCAGCCAGCAGCTGGTAGGAGAATAATAATGGGATATATGGCTTTGGATCCAGTTGAAAATTTTTCAAAATAAGAAACAGAAGATGTGAAGTGAGTTATAGTCTATACACTACATGGACTGCTACATAAGTTTGCAGGACACGTGTCTCACACTAATTGTCTGCACAATAACTGTGTAAAAAGCAAATGACATAATAGATTCAGACCCCAAGTTTGGAGGAAGAATAAACTTTTTGCATTTTGTCATTATAATTGGCCAAAATAATGGAATAAATAAAATGCTCAGGATGGAATGATCATGCCATATGGTTAGAATTGTTGGATGGTTAATTTTTGACTCAGGGAATCTTGTAAAGGCATATATTAAACAGAGAACAGGAATCCATTGCAAATATATGAAAATAATCTCCATAGAGCATCAGGATCTAACCTGCATGCAGAAATATGGTCTTGTTATTGCTACATCATTTGAAACTGAACAGTGATATAGTTTCCACCAGCTGGATTGTTGGAAAATGTCATATATGTTTGGTGTAACCTCCTGTACAAAGTAAATACTTTAAGTATCATGGATGATGATAAAACAGATCAGTCCAAAACCTGATTATGTCCAAATCAAAAAGAAAAGAACAAAACCTGGAAACAGATGATATCTGGGGAATGCTGTTGAATAAGTTCGCCAAGAGCTTTCATCCTCTTATACATTTCCAGGTCTTCTCGAAACCAAACATTGTAAGTCAAAATCTTCAATGTGCTCAAATTGGTGTCTTGCTTGGTGTTAACTTCTGATAAAGGAGGGGGAGAAAAGGAAAGAAAAGAAAAGGAAATGCGGTACCACATTATAAATTGAAACCACAAAATCATAGAACTGAACAAAGCGACAGTAAGAGCATGGGAGAAAAGGGAGTATTAAAGAAAGAAACAGGTTAACTCATTAGTACTATAGTGCTACAGGTTCCAAATTCCAACAGTGGGGATAATATAGAAGCTATATTATTAAATTAAAATTGAGGTCAAACCGTCAAAGGTGGTATTGTGACAACATAACCAGTTTAATCTTCAACCTGTTTATTTATTTCATTGGGGTCTGAATTTCCAAATGTTACTAATTTCAAATTTGGAAAAACTTAACCAATTTAATCTCCAACCTGTTTATTTATTTCATTGGGGTCTGAATTTCCAAATGTTACTAAATTTCAAATTTGCAAAAACTTAACCAATTCAGTTTTCAACCTGTTTATTTATTTTGTAGGATCTGGATGCCAGATACGTATCAAATTTCAAATTGCATCAACAAAAGAGAGATTAAAATTGCATTATTTAACACGAGTCTCTCAAAAGGGATTATAAAATTCAGAAAATGAAGACATTTGAAGGTTTCGAACAAAGAGGCCTTATTCCAGATAGTCGGGATGGATAAGAGCTTATCCTCCTCCGTCAGCCCACTCCAGTAAGACCATATCGTTTAAATGGGTTTGGAAAAAGGTCTTACGGAAGATGTCAATACGATAAAACCTCTATTCGGCTTTGAGACTGGCAAACAAACTTAATACCAGGGGAGTTCCTTCAAGAAACGGAATCACTTATAGTTTTTCTTTAAATTTGGTACTACATTTTGGATTATGATGCAGTTGTGTATTTGAATAACCTGAAACTGTGCAATTCCCCACAATGTTAATTGTGTGTCGAATGCATCATTGTCACATACAACGCACACCAATAGGCAAAAAGTTAAAAGCAAATGAAAGAACACGTAATTTCGAAAAAAAAAGGAAAAAGAAAAAAAAAGATATATAAAGAATGATAGGGTTTTGATTGAAAACAGACAGAAGAACAAGACTAACCCAAAGCGTCTTCTGCTTGCCTCGACGATTTGGCAACTCGAGAAATGTCCAGTCCACCAAGACCGTCGTCATCGTCAACCTCAATAGTCTCCGGCTTCTTTCTCTTACTACAGCGCTGCAGGGGCAGAAAAACAGACCCAATCGAAGAATCTAACTCTTCATTGGGACCAATAGAATCCAAATCGTCTAATCGCGATAACAACGAAGCACTGGCTCTTGTACCGCAGATTTCGCAGTTAGTCGTTCCATACTTGTTGGAGAAAGTACAGGCCTTGCAAGACCAACTAAACGACGGGGGAGAACTGGAAGAAGAAACGGGAGATAGGCAGATCTGACACGCTGATTTCTGCGATGGAGGATTGATGAAAGTGCACTTGGAACAAGGCCACGCCATTAATTTGGATGGAGAAGCAGAGTTTCTTCTAAGGCTTCCGTATAGGTATAGGGTAGAAGAGGAGACGGGAGCGCAAGCTAAACGAATCAAAGCCGGAGCCATTTAAGTAGTGTTGCCGCTCTTCTCTTTGCTTTTGAGTTTTGTCGCGTGGATTTGTTGTTAATTGTTGCCCATGGCCATTGGAGCTAACGCTGTGTTTGGTTGCAATGCAAATATGTATACTACATATTTACCTATTTTTCGGTTTATGAATGTTACATTTTAAATCATTTTCGCATTCATTTGTTTGTTTGAAATCGGTGCAATAGTGTGGGCCATCATTAAATGCTCCAATGCATTAATTTTGGTGAAAAAGTTAATTATCAAAAGAACAGAAAATTGTATCAAAAAAATAGGTTCAGTAATGCTCTCTTCCCGAAGTACAGAACTATCAGAAAATATATTTTTGCTCTAATAATCATTACTCTTTTATATTTCAAACAAACATAAATACCTCGGTTCAGCGTTTGTATCGCAAACAAATGGAGCCTAAGCGCGCGACAACAAAGACCGTCTTTACTTGCAATACAAAATCGTTCCCACTAGTTCCAACCTAATCTCTATCCACACATCTCACCATGATACCAGAACTCGGTCCCAATTCTGTGTGAGGTGTGCCAACACAGATGTTGTAATGGCTTTTTCTGTTGGGTGCAGATATGGCACCGTTCAATTGCCTTGCATTGGCCCTTGGTCAAGCTCAACGGGTCAACCGGAACTAGGGGTGTCAATGGTTCGAGTCAACCCATTTAAGTGGAATAAAGGACATTTACTAGAATACCCCCTAAAGTTTGACGGATTTACTCAAACCTATCCTATAATTTTCATTTTACTAAAACATCCTTTATAGTTTGCAACCTATTTACTTAATGACCTTTCATTAAGTGTTTGTTTTGCCATTAGGCCCATGATTGTTTATTCCCAAAATACATCTAACACTTTTTGTACAGAAAACAAAATCGACCAAATAGAGCCAATTAGGGGTGAGCAAATGGGTAGGACTCTACCCATAACCAAATAGAACCGGCCTTGAATCGACCCTACTCAATTTGTTACAAGGTAGGTTTTTTTGTTCCAAATTTTTGAAACCGACCCCCACCTAGGCAGGTTCCAAGGTCTAGGGGTTTATCCTACCCAAACCGACCTTGGTCGGCTTTGGTGGAACCTACTTTTGAACCAAACTTGCCTTGAAATAATTCCCCAAATTCTTTTGTGGATGTGAAGATTTGAACCCAAGAACTGCTGGATAGCAAGGCCATGATTATAATATTTGAATGTGTACAATAAGTAATGTAAAAGGTAATACTTACAAAATTTAAATTTAAATTATAAGTTCTGAACTATATAATGATAATTTACATACTAAGTTACTCAATTTAACCAATAAAGGTAATATAAGTTTTAAACTACATGTTATATTTATTAACAATCAAGTTTTTAAGAAAACACTTTTTTTTTAAGGGGGAGGAGTAAAGAAAGAACAAGCCCCACAAGTAGACCTTGGAACTGACCCTCGAACTACCAAGGCTAGAATCAACCTTCATAGGGTAGGTTCTGGTTCCAAAAACCTAGAACTGACTTCTGCCATGTAACCGAACCAAACCGATCGATGCTCACCCCTAGAGCCAATGGAGTGGTTGCCCATGTCTTATTAGGGGCAAAAATAGTATTTTTATTTTTATTTTCTTTTAATTAAATTTATTCAAATGGACATTATGGTTAAAACTATCATTTTCCACTGTTAGTTAATGGAAGGTCGATTAAGCAAATCAATTGCAAATTATAAAGGTGTTTTAATAAAATGCAAACTATAGGATATGTTTTAGTAAATCCATAAAACTATAAAGGGTGTTTTGATAAATGAACCTAAAAAAAGTGGATCGAATGGACTCCCCACAGGCAACTCATCTCCCCCGTGCATTGAGAACATCTCTCGTTCCGGTTATGGGGAGATGTTCCTAATTCATGGAGGAGTATGCTCGAGGGAGAGCCCATTCCGTCTCAAAATGTGTTATGTGTAACGAATTCTGAATCTGACATCTGATGATAGAAACCTTTCAACTCAAGGCAACTGGAGTCACAGTATGTCATTTGGTGATTTATGATAAGATTGACTATTTGAAGCATAAATTATGAACCCAAGAGTTTTAATTTGAATTTTATGAATAATAACATTTTCTAGAGTTATTCTTTATTATTTATTTGTTTATCAAAATGCCTTTTATTTTAGAACCCTTCTCTAGTATTTTGGGTAAATTACAAAGATCCCTTTACTATGGAATTAGTGACAAACCCTGGACTTTTATTTGTGATAAAGACCTCCTGAACTTTCACTTTGCAACTGAAAGTTCAGGGGTATTTGGCAATGACCCCATAGTACAAGGGGCCTTTGTATTTTACCCTTTTTTTGTATTTAATCATATGCATGAATCCCCCATAGGGGACATAATTCTTTTTTCTCTTTTTCTTTTCAAGTAGCAAAGCATCACACTAATAACTCTCCTCCAAAACCAGTAATAGCAAGAGTCTTATCCGCATCTCCACTAGAACAAATCAGTGAACATTAGCAATATGGAAATATAAAAAGAAAAAAAAAAGTTTTTTCTCCTTATCTATACTAGTAGTCATGCACGTGACAACTGAAAATTTGATATATGTGGTTAAAATATTAAAACGCGGTGCCATAAGTGGGATATAAGGAGGCATACAACATTAAAGAGATGATATCATGTCAAAAGAAAAACACAAGGTCTTAGATATTAGGCTTTTAGCACTTGGGCTTGTGCCCCCTATTGCAAAACTAAAAAAGGAAAAGGTCTTAGCATGCCTTTAACCTGAACAAGTTGGCCAACTTTGATGGTAAAGTCTTAAATTATCTAAAGAAACTTCTAAGGGAGGGCCTCTTTTTGATGTTTGTATTCATTCAACCACACAACTAAGGTGTTGTGTGGATGAAAACACACCACACCCCAATAGGATAGTTGTTCTGTACCATGGACAAATATGTGTGCATTGATCCATACCACACCTTAATAGGCGTTCTGTTCTGCAAGGTGTGGCACATTTCTATCCACATTTTGTGTTTGATTCCATGCATCTCAACTACATGTGAGATTATCTATGCCGTTAATCATTAAAACACAATATTTTATTTTTTAATAATATATATAATAGAAAAAATATTAATAAGTTACAAAAATTAATAATTAATAAAAATAATATTAATAATATTTAATAAAAAATAATGATATTATTATTAACTAAAATTAGTAATAATAATTAAAAAATAATTATTAATATTAATAATTAATGATTAATAAATCATGTTAACAATAATTAACAATATAGAACCATCCCACTTAAAAGAATGGGTTCAGCAACACAACGGGATTGCAACTTCAATTCTATTTCAGGAGATTAGCAAACTTGACAATGCAAAATGTCATAATATCATAGTTACTTTAAATTTCATTTATCTAGAATTGGTACTATTTCAACTCTGATCCTGATTGACCTGGATTTATCTGAGGAAACAATACTATTGTAGCAAAACACACCACACCCCAACAGTGGGTATGGTTTGTTTCGCCAGTGATTGGAACTACAATTCCAAGGGTGCTTGATTCAAAAAAGAGGGTATGATTTCCTCATGATCATGCCCATGATTAGTGACCGGCATCTTTCTTCTTTTTCCTAGTTTCTATTCAATTTATCCAATCATAAAGTCCTTGTTTGTTTCTCTGAATTCGTCTTAATTTATGATCATCTCTGGTCTGGAAGGATATGATTGCCCACACCAACAGTGAAGGAGAATTTTCTTCTCCTGCAATGTTTAAACAAGTGTACAATAAATAACTTCACTCCAAATTTACACCTTGAAAATTTAAAAACTCGTACCTTTGTCACTTCTATTTGTTGGCTTTCTTTCCTACCTTTTATGTGAATTACATGGTATTCCTGTTTGGTTTGTCTAGAGGTTGAATGTGCACCTTCTAATTAGATGCTCTCAATTACCTGCACTGAATATTTGAGAATGGATTGTGTTTACTTTAATCCTTTTTCCATGCAAATACAGATATCATCCTGTCAAACAGGTTGATCTCTGTAGGGTAAACCTAAACTATCAGGACAAAATCTGTAAAACAGCTATTGCAATGTCTCTTTTGTGTTGAGGCGACAATAAGCTCCAATTGTGATCAATGTTGGGTTATATTTCTATGTAGGTATAGAAGGAAAGAGCAGAAAGGGAGGCATTGTGAGCATTACCTCTTTACCAATGCACCATTCCCTGATTTTATTATTGCATCAGTCCTGGATCTTGCTCACCATGTTTTCTGATAGATTCTTTTGAGTGGTGGACCGTGATAACTGAGATGTTTGCTTTCTATTCGTCGTAGGAAATGGTATTGTATTTTGTTGATGAATTTCTTTTGGCATCGTTGGGTATGATTTATTCATCATTTTTGCCATATCTAAGCAAGTTGTTTACTTGCTAACAAGTAATAATTCCTATCAAAAACTAGATGAATTTCTATTGTTGAATTAACTTGAGTAGTCGTATTTATTGCACCATCAGAAACTCCCTCTACTTCTTCTACTTGATTGGGATGCAGTAACTATATCTTAGAACTGGTTTGACAGAGAGAGGGTAGAAGGGGAAATATTGTCTTCTTCTTCACGGGGAAGTGGGGTTGCAACTATTTTCTTATTTATGTTCAGTAGATAAAAAAAACTGACATGCTTTCCAAACTTTCATTAAAAAAAGATGATCAAATACTTGTGCAAAGTGGCAATGGAAAGACAATATGAAACAAGAGTAAACAGATATGAAACAGGTGCAAATTAAAAATCTAGAAAGACAAAATTTGTGAACTTTCGTTTTCTTTCTACAAACAAAGAGAGTTAATGGATATGAAAGAGGATATTCGTTTTCTTTCTACCAAAAACACCATATTTGTTTCATTAATCAAATATGAAACAGAATATGAAATAGGAGTTCTTTTCATACTTATAGACAGTTCAGTGCAGTGCTGGTCGGAGTTGCAATGGTGAGTGATGAAGCAAGACGCGGCGGTCGGAGTTGAAGCAGCAAACGGTGAAGCAGTGGTAGAGGCGGTGCTCTGT